ACTCAGAGTATATTTTTTTCGCACGTCAAAACTTGTTTGGACAGGTTAATCACGGGGTGGAAATGTCAGTTTTGTCGAGTGGTTAAAACCCACTTCGGTTGTTTGGAGTGAATCATTTCGGCTGATTTTATTTACAGATTGGTTTCTTATCGAAGACGTCACACGAATTTTCATCTTCTTATGACCATAAATAATACATTTATCGCTTGGTATGGTATTGTTATAAACAAAACTGTTTTTTAATTTTAATGGCGAAAATGTTGATGATAAGAGTAATGGCCTTTTGAATTCGTGGCGATTGACTATGTGGAAAGGTATGCAATTGTGGCGATAATGGGCGATGGTTGAAATGGGCAGTCGAGCGGGCTGTGATAAATTGGCAGAACAAAAATTTAACGGATTACATATTTTTGCTTGGTTTTTATTTTTGATTAAGATAAAAATCACAAAACGAACAATTAATATTAAAAAATTCCTGTTTTTTAAACCATTTTCCAGTGAACTTTTTTTTTTAAATCACAACAGAAAAACTTGATAACATGAAAATTGAATCGATCGTAGCTGGACACTTTTTTTTTTGACACCGTTTACACTAGGATTTTAAATAAAAATATTACTAAAATGTATAAGATGCTTCAAAAGAATAGAAATAAAAAAATGCCTCTTCCACTACCGTTCTATCTTTGAACATTTTTACTGTAATCGAATTCATCAGGGGTACCAATTTGCATAAAAATATTAAGTCTCATATTCATTAATTCTTGTTTTTTAAAACATTTTTCCAATACTTGTTAAGAATCATGTTGAATAAAATCTTTTTTTAAAAAAATCGCAACAGAAAAACTTGACAACATAAAAATTCAATCAATTATACCTGGACATTTTTTTTATTTTGACAGCGTTTACACTAGGATTTTAAACAAAAAAGCACTAAAATGTATAAGATGCTTCAAAAGAGTAGAGTCTAAAAAAACACTTCTACTACTTAATCTCTTTGAGCATTTTTTACTGTAACCGAATTCATCATCAGTACCAACTTACGAAAAAAAATTATTCAGTTTCAAAGTATCATATTAAAAAATTCCTGTTTTTTAAACCATTTTCCAGTGAACTTTTTTTTTAAATCACAACAGAAAAACTTCATAACATGAAAATTGAATCGACCGTAGCTGGACACTTTTTTTTTTGACACCGTTTACACTAGGATTTTAAATAAAAATATTACTAAAATGTATAAGATGCTTCAAAAGAATAGAAATAAAACAATGCCTTTTCCACTACCGTACTTTCTTTGAACATTTTTACTGTAATCGAATTCATCAGGGGTACCAACTTACGTAAAAATATTATTTTAGTTTTAAAGCCTCATATTGATAAATTCTTGTTTTTTTAAACCATTTTTCCAATACTTGTTCAGAATCATGTTGAATAAAATCCTTTTTTTTTTTTTTTTTTAAATCACCACAGGAAAACTTGACAACATAAAAATTCAATCAAATATAGCCAGATATTTTTCTTATTTTGACAGCGGTTACACTAGGATTTTAAAGAAAAAAGCACTGAAATGTAAAAGATGCTTCAAAAGAATAGAATACTTCTACAACTTAACCTCTTTGAACATTTTTTACTGTAACCGAATTCAAGAGTACCAACTTACGAAAAAATATTACTTAGTTTCAAAGTATCATATTAAAAAATTCCTGTTTTTTAAATCATTTTCCAGTAAACATTTTTTTTAAATCACAACAGACAAACCTGATAACATGAAAATTGAATCGATCATAGCTGGACACTTTTCTTTTTGACACCGTTTACACTAGCATTTTTAAAAAAAAATTTACTAAAATGTATAAGACGCTTCAAAAGAATAGAAATAAAAAAATGCCTCTTCCCCTACCGTACTATCTTTGAACATTTTTACTGTAATCGAATTCATCAGGGGTACCAACTTACGTAAAAATATTATTTTAGTTTTAAAGCCTCATATTGATAAATTCTTGTTTTTTAAACCATTTTTCCAATACTTGTTCAGAATCATGTTGAATAAAATCTTTTTTTTTTAAATCACAACAGGAAAACTTGACAACATAAAAATTCAATCAAATATAGCCAGACATTTTTCTTATTTTGGCAGCGGTTACACTTGTATTTAAAAAAAAAAGCACTGAAATGTATAAGATGCTTTAAAAAAATAGAGTCTAAAAAAACACTTCTACTACTTAATCTGTTTGAGCATTTTTTACTGTAACCGAATTCGTCAACAGTACCAACTTACGAAAAAAAAATATTCACTTTCAAAATATCATATTAAAAAATTCCTGTTTTTTAAACCATTTTCCAGTAAACATTTTTGTTTTTAAATCACAACAGATAAACTTGATAACATGAAAATTGAATCGATCATAGCTGGACACTTTTCTTTTTGACACCGTTTACACTAGGATTTTAAATAAAAAAATACCAAAATGTATACGATTCTTCAAAAGAATAGAATTTAAAAAAAATGCCTCTTCTACTACCGTACTAACTTTCACCATTTTTACCGTAATCGAATTCATTAGGCGTACCAACTTACGAAAAAAAAAATATTTTAGTTTCAAAGTATCATATTCATAATTTCCTGTTTTTTAAACCATTTTTCCAATGCTTGTTCAGAGTCATGTTAAATAAAATCTTTAAAAAAAAAATACAAAAGAAAAACTTGACAACATAGCCCGACATTTGTCTTATTTTGACAGCGTTTACACTAGGATTTTAAACAAAAAAGCACTGAAATGTATTAGATGCTTCAAAAGAATAGAATCTAAAAAACCACTTCTACTACTTAATCTATTTGAACATTTTTTACTGTTACCGAATTCGTCAAGGGTACCAACTTACGAAAAACTATTACTTAGTTTCAAAATATCATATTAAAAAATTCCTATTTTTTAACCATTTTCCAGTGCTTGGTCAGAATCATGTGTGCATTATTTTGGACAAAATATTTCTCAAAAAACCACAAAAGAAAAACTTGACAACATAAAAATTGAATCGAGTTTATCTGGACACTTCTCTTTTTGACACCGTTTACACTAGGATTTTAAATAAAAAATTACCAAAATGTATACGATTCTTCAAAAGAATAGACTTTTCCATAATCGAATTTATCAGAAGTACCAACTAACTTACGAAAAAAAAATATTTCAGTTTCAAAGTATCATATTCATAATTTCCTGTTTTTCTAAACCATTTTACCAATCCTTGTTCAGAGTCATGTTAAATAAAATCTTTTTTCAAAAAAATTACAAAAGAAAAACTTGACAACATAAAAGTTCTTATTTTGACAGCGTTTACACTTGGATTTTAAACAAAAAAGCACTAAAATTTATAAGATGCTTCAAAAGAATAGAATCTAAAAAACACTTCTACTACTTAATCACTTTGAACATTTTTTACTGTAAACGAATTCATCAAGAGTACCAACCTACGAAAAAATATTACTTAGTTTCAAAGTATCATATTAAAAAAATTCTGTTTTTTAAACGATTTTCCAGTGCTTGTTCAGAATTATGTGTGCATTATTTTGGACAAAATCTTTTTTAAAAAATCACAAAAGGAAAACTTTACAACAAAAAAATTAAGTGTTTCAAAAGAATAGAATCTAAAAAATGCATCTACTATTTACTACATTTGAACATTTTTTATTGTAATCGAACTCATCAGGTGTACCAACTTACGAAATAGGATTACTAAGTTTCAAAGTGTCAAATTCAAAAAAAGTTTTTTAAATAATTTCTCCAACGCTTGTTGAAATTCATATACATTATTTCGCATGAAAGCTTAAAAAAATCACAAAAAAGAAACTTTGACAATATAAAAACTGAATTAATTATGTTGGATACAAAAAGAATTCAGATGTATAAACGAGGATTAAAACAAAATGTCGAAAAAATTGCTAAAAATAATGAAAAATAGTATCATATTTTATATCCTTTTGGCGATATTAGTTAAAAATGGCGTGTGCGTTATTCTAAACACAATTCCCCTAAAAAAATCACAAAGAAAAACTTGGCTAAGAAGTTCCGGGTTCTAGGAACTTTATTTTAACTACTAGTGTTTCATTCCACTAAGTAGCATTTATTTTCACAGCTGATTTCAAAGGTTAATTTTTACTAACAGATGTTAAAACTTTGTGGAATATAAATCTAAAGAAATATAATAAACATTGCTCATAAATACCAGGGTACTAAGAATTTCGCCTATTATTTATATCATCTAATCACCACTTACCGTTATTGACAGAAAATACACAAACGTATATTTTTAACACCAACAAGTATTTGAAACAATTTTTCGAAAAAAAAGAATTTCAACAATGAGCGACTAAAATTGGCCTGGATGACGCAACAAAGTATGAGATGACGTCAGCCATCTTTTGTAGGGTATGAATAAACACGGTTATCTTAAACTAGATCAAAAAATTCGTAATCAATTCAGAGATTAAAACAGATAATTAGAAGAGGGAGACCCACGTTTCCAGATTCTAGAAGAATATTTAAAAAAATGCGTCCCGATGTCGCCAAATCAAAAAACAAACACAAATAAAAGCAAAGCTGACGCAAATTATTAAAAAAAAATGTATACAGAAGCCGCAATTCGATAACGAAAAACCTGAAGGTTAAAAAACATTTTTTCGCGAAAAAGTCGTAAAACGGTCACCTTTGTCGCTAAAAAATTTCATTTTAAAAATACGTGCATTTCTCCCTCAACCGCGCTAAAAGTTGTGCAATTTTCCGAGTCATCAGTCACCCGTTTCTCCATTGACGCTATCGGGCGATCTCAGGTAGCGCTCGTTACGCAACTCGGTCCGAATTTTCATCTCGGGGGGCAGCCCGCCGCCCCCGGCCGCCACCACCGAAACCGTGCGCCTTACATCACGTAGGCCGCGCCGGCGAAAATCGCCGATTATCCTCGCCGCGTGGAAGGGGGGGACTTAAGTTATATAAATACCGGCACAGCTGATCTCTGATAGTAGGCCGAATCAGTGTTGGTGTAAATGGAACAGTCGTCCTGACAGCCCGAACCGGCGACCGGCTTTTTGAGACTTTTCCGAAAACTGTGATACAAGATGGAAATTTTGGGCTTCACGAACCAGTTCAACAACAACATCGGCGGTAAGTAAGCCGGCCGAAACGCTGACCCCCGGTGACCTCCGGCGCTCCTAGCAACAGAGTTTCACTTCACCTCGCTTTCTTTTTTCGCCGTTTCCATCTTTCTTCTTTTTTCAGAAAGCGAAGTCGTGCTCGACTCGGAAGCCCTGGCCGTGGAGGCGCTGTCCAAGCGCTTCGCGGAGGAGCTGAAGAAGGCCAAGAGGGCGCACTTCGCCTCCGGGGAGGTGTTGCTGCCCACGGATTTAACCAAAGCTCTGGCTGAAGACGTCTTCGCCATGGCCGAAGCCGAGCTGTGCGGCCTCAAGGGCTGCACGATCTTCATCAACTTCGAGAGCGGGGAGGAGCGGCGTAGGCTCAGCGTGGTGGACTGCGACCCGCTGACTCCTTCGACTTTCGAGTTGTATTTGACACTTAGGCAGAGTACAAACGGTTGGAACCACTTCCTACCGCGATTTTTGAAGTAAGTACTGTTTGCGAAATTTTTGACTAAATACTAACCATGGTGTTGTTGCAGAAAAATGACGCGCGGTGGTACCGTGATGATTTCCTCCGAGTACAGCATCCGGAAAAAGAAGCTGTACCGATCGTACGACGAATAGTTCTCGAAAGACTGATTTTGCAAGTATTTGCAAACGATCCAACGTTTTGTTGAACGATTGTTTTTTCTCATTGTGATATTAGGTGCGATACGACGACCGAGAAGCCGATTTTTTCTGATCTGAACAGTATTGGGCTTCTCAGTCGAAGATCTAGATGATCTCATTCGAACTTGTACAGTCTCGACTAAAGTTTAGGCTAGTTTGTCTGTTGAGTGTAGATTTTATTTTTTTCCTCTCTACAACTAAAATGTGATAGTACTTGTGTACACAGCTTTTTTATATTGTATCACGTTATAGAATGTTTACTATTGAGAATACAAAATATGAAGAAACTTGGCACTTTTATTTATTACTTGCATTTAATTGTATCGCGTTATAAAATGTTTACTATGCGAAGAAAGTTGGCGAGTTCTTGGAAAACACCGCACTAAAAATATATTTGACACCGAAGGGATAACTCGACGCGATTTGTTCAACCCGAATAAAAATAAATAGTTTTATGTACCGAGTGGGCTTTGAAAAAAAAATATGTCAGCGCCAACTTCCTCGTTTTATCTGCTGAAGCATTTCCACGTCATTTACATAATAATAAAACGGATACAAGTATGGAAGAAATCACAGTTTGATCTAAACCATCAAAACATGGCTGTTTTTACTTCATGGTCATCATCGGAACGTCAGTTCGAGAGTCCGTATATTCTTTCTGCCAAAAACAAATATAGATACAGGATGTCACGAACACACTAAATCACGATAATTAATTATCTTATAAAATTTAAACATTAAAACATAATAAACTGGCTTACAAATTAGTGTCGTGATGAAAAGAATTATTTGCGGATTGTGTGATTTGTTGTTGGTTGCTTCTCTGGTGTGCAAAGGTTTATTATTAAAACATGCAAATCAAAATTGAAATCATTATATTCTTATATGTAAATCGGAGTTGACACCTATTATTTAGAACACGTTTGTGCCGCTGAATGGTCTATTTTCGGTCGACTTCCTGCGATTTTCGAACGACTTGTAGTTTAATGACAAGTAACTGACAAAAAAAAAGTAGTTGAGATTAGTCAGATACGAGATTTACTTGCTTTTGAATGTTTAAATGTCTTAATGGTTACTTATTCAAGGTAGGTGACTAATTTAAACAAGTTGCAGATTTAAAAATATTGTTACTACCGAAAGTACCCATTCATGGATCCTTCATTATACGAATGGCTAATTATAGCTTATAGCTGTCAGAATTTGAAAAAGTGGGTCTCCCATTTCCGTATTTCCTTCCGTCCGTTTGTCCGTCCGTACGTCCGTCTGTTTATCTGTTGGGGACTACTCAGTAGATTATTGTCCATGTAGTTTTTCAAGATACCTTTATTTTTAATCTTACGTATGTGGTTTTTTGAAAAAATTAAAATTAAAAAAAAATTGCAGTAATCTTTTTTCGAATACAAGTTAATAAATAGAGTTCTAGCATTCAAAATTTTATTATTTCAAGAAGAAATAAAAATTCCACAATTTTGTAAGATTATCAAAAGATTAATGAAAGTGCTAAACGAAAACAGGAAAACTGCATTTCCGTATTGTCGCAACTGCGTTGAAAAAATATTTATATGAATACTATTTTCTGTTTAACGTATACGTGAAAAAAGAGAGTTTCAAGATTCAAAACGTTTGGATTTTTGATTTTACTTTTCACTATTGTAAATTCTAAAATTTCATGGGAATGATTTTGGTATTTAAAATGTTATAATTTCATCAACTTAAGAGTTTTTTATTTTAGGAATTTATATCTTTGAAATTTTAGAACAATACAGTGAACTTTACAATTTTAGTAATTCGCATTTTTCAATTTAAAAATTATACCATTTAAGATCCTCAATTTAGAATAATTTTAATATTTATAAATTTGGGATTCATAATTCAAGAAATTGGGATTCAGACCGATTTATCAAAATAAAAGTATTTTTTATAAGTGCTTAGAATTTCGGCATTGTTTTAGGGTTTAAAAAAATAAAATTTCAGTATTTACAATTTCATTAGGAAAGGAATTTAAAAAACTAAATTTCAGAATTCAAAAATTCTGTATTTTACAGTTTAGTACATATTCAGTGCTGATGACTTCAAGATTTCATGAGTATGATTTTACTTTTTAAAAAATTTATAATTTCATCAATTTAAGAGTTTTCCACTTTACAAAGTTAGGAATTATGATCTCTGACATTTTGGTACAACACACAAAATTTTAGGAATTCTATCTTTTTGAGTTTTAGTTTTTCGAGTTTTAGATTTTAAAATTTATACATTTAAGGATTTAATAATGAAACAAATTAAAAAAACAGAATTTCAGTATTCAAAACTTGGATTTTAGACTTTAGTATTCAGTACTGAAGATTTCATGAGTATGATTTTCGTTTTGGATTTTAGACTTTGGCCTAAAAATTTCAAGAATTCATGAGTTAAAAAAAAAATTCATCAATTTAGGAGTTTTTCAATGTAGGAAATTAGGAATTTTGATCTCTGAAATTTTAAAACAATATACAAAATTTTAGGAATTCAGTATTTTTGAATTTTGGTTTTTAAAATCTAAAATTTAACGATTCTGTAATTAGGATTTAATAATGAAACAAATTAAAAAAAAAAAAACAGAATTTCAGGATTCAAAACTTGGATTTTAGAGTTTGGTATTCAGTACTGAAGATTTCATGAGTATGATTTTCGTTTTGGATTTTAGACTTTGGTCTAAAAATTTCAAGATTTCATGAGTTAAAAAAAATTCATCAATTTAGGAGTTTTTCAATGTAGGAAATTAGGAATTTTGATCTCTGAAATTTTAAAACAATATACAAAATTTTAGGAATTCAGTTTAGTTTTTAAAATTCAAAATTTAACGATTCTGTAATTAGGATTTAATAATGAAACAAATTGAAAAAAAACAGAATTTCAGGATTCAAAACATGGATTTTAGACTTTGGTATTCAGTACTGAAAATTTTAAGATTCCTTGAGTATGATTTCATATTTGAAAAAAAAATTTTTTTTTCAAGTAAAGTTTTCCACTTTGCGAAATTAGGAATTTTTGATCTCTAAAACTTCAGAACAATACCTACACAAAATTTTGGAAATTCAGTATTTTTGAAATTTAGTTTATCGAATTTCAGATTTTAAAACTTGTAAGTTGAAAAATTTGGTAATTATGATTTCATAATGAAACAAATTAAAAAAAAAACAGAACTTCAAAATTCAAAACTTTTGGATTTTATACTTTGGTCTAAAAATGTCAAGATTTCATGAGTTTAAAAAAAATAAAATTTCATCAATTTAAGAGTTTTCCAATTTAGGAAATTAGGAATTATGATGTCTGAAATTTTAGAACAATATGCAAAATTTTAGGAATTCAGTATTTTTGAATTTTAGTTTTTTAAACGTAAAATTTAACGATTCTGTAATTAGGATTTAATAACGAAACAAATTTTAAAAAAACATCAATTTCAGGATGCAAAACTTGAATTTTAGACTTTAAAGATTTTTGAGCATGATTTCATATTTAAAAAAAAATATATAATTTTTTCAAGTTAAGTTTTCCACTTTGCGAAATTAGGAATTTTTGATCTCAGAAAATTTCAAAACAATACCTATACAAAATTTTGGAAATTCAGTATTTTTGAGATTGGGTTTTTCGAATTTCAGATTTTAAAATTTATAAATTGAAATGTCTTGTAATTATGATTTAATTATGAAACAAATTTAAAAAAAAAAAAACAGAACTTTAGAATTCAAAACTACTGGATTTTAGACTTTGGTCTAAAAATGTCAAGATTTCATGAGTTTAAAAAAAAATAAAATTTCATCAATTTAACGGTTTTCCAATTTAGGAAATTAAGAATTTTGATCTCTGAAATTTTAAAACAATATACAAAATTTTAGGAATTCAGTATTTTTTAATTTTAGTTTATAAAATTTAAAATTTAACGATTCTGTAATTAGGATTTAATAATGAAACAAATTAAAATAAACAGAATTTCAGGATGCAAAACTTGGATTTTAGACTTTGGTATTCAGTACTGAAAATTTAAAAATTCTTGAGTATGATTTCATATTTAAAAAAATATAATTTTTTCAAGTTAAGTTTTCCACTTTGCGAAATTGGGAATTTTTGATCTCTGAAATTTCAGAACAATACCTATACAAAATTTTGGAAATTCAGTATTTTTGAATTTTGATTCTGTAATTACGATTTAATAATGAAACAAATTAAAAAAAACAGAATCTCAGGATTCAAAACTTGGATTTTAGACTTTAGTATTCAGTACTGAAGGTTTCAAGATTTCATGACTATGATTTCATTTTTTTTAGGAGTATAATTTTTTCAATTCAAGTTTTTCAGTTAACGAAATTAGGGATTTTTGATCTCTGAAATTTTAGAACAAAATACAAAATTTTATGAATGCCGTTTTTGAATTTTGGTTTTTCGAGCTTCAGAATTTAAAATTTATAGATTTAACGATTCTGTAATTAGAATTTAATAATGAAACAAACTAAAAAACCAGAATTTCAGAATTTAGTATTCAGTACTAAAGATTTCAAAATTTAATGAGCATGATTTTTATTTTTAAAAAATTGTAATTTCAGCACTTTAGAAGTATTCATATTTAGGAAATATGACATTTTGATTTTTGAAATTTCAGAAGAGTATACAAAAGTTTAAAAATTCAGTATTTTTGAATTTTACTTTTTGGAGTTTCAGATTTTAAAATTTATATATTTAGCGATTCTGTATTTAGGATTTAATAATAGAACAAATTCAAACACAAGAATTTCAGGATTCAAAACTTTTGGATTTTCGACTTTACTATTCAGTGCTGAAGATTTCAAAATTTCATGAATATGATTTTAGTTTATAAAAAAATTATAATTTCATCAATTTAAGAGTTTCCCAATTTAGGAAACCCGAAATTTAGATTTTTGGAATTTCAGAACAATATACAAAATTTTGGAAATTCAGTTTTTTTTTTGTTTTAGTTTTTCGAGTTTCCGATTTTAAAATTTATAAATTTAACGATCCTTTAATTAGGATTTAATAATGAAACAAATTAAAAAACCAGAATTCCAGGATTAAAAATTTTTGGATTTTAAACTTTAGTACTCAGTACTGAAGATTTCAAGATTTCATGAGTATGATTTTAGTTTAAAAAAAAAAAATGTAATTTCATCAGTTTAAAAGTTTTCCAATTTAGGAAATCAGGAAATCAAACATTTTGATTTTTGACATTTCAGAACAATATATGTACAAAATTTTAGAAATTCAGTATTTTGAATTTTTGATATTCGAATTTCAGATTTTAATATTTAAAAATTTTGTGATTCTGTAAATAGGATTTAATAATGAAACAAACTAAAAAACCAGAATTTCGGAATTCAAAACATCTGGATTTTAGACTTTAGTATTCAGCACTGAAGATTTCAAGATTTCATGTGTATGATTTTAGTTTAAAAAAATATATAATTTGATCAATTTAAGAGTTTTCCAATTTAGGAAATGGGAAATTTTGATTTTTAAAATTTCAGAACAATTTACAAAATTTCAGTATTTTTGAATTTTAGATTTTCGTATAACAGATTTTTACATTAAAAACTTTTGGATTTTAGACAGTACTGAACATTTCAAAATTACATGAGAATGATTTTAGTTTAAAAAAAATATATAAATTAATCAATTTAAGAGTTTTCACTTTACGAAATTAGGAATTTTGATCTCTGAAATTTTAGAACAATGTACAAAATTTTAGGAATTCAGTATTTTTGAATTTTAGTTTTTCGAGTTTCGGGTTTTAAAATTTATAAATGTAACGATTGTGTAATAAAGATTTAATAATAAAAAAAAAATAAAAAAAAACAGAATTTCAGGATTCAGTACTGAAGATTTCATGAGTATGATTTTAGTTTCAAAAAAATATATAATTTCCTCAATTTAAGAGTTTCCAATTTAGGAAATTAAGAATTTTGATCTCTGAAAATTTTAGAACAATATACAAAATTTTAGGAATTCAGTATTTTTGAATTTTAGATTTTCGAATTTCAGATTTTAAAATTTATAACTTTTGGATTTTTGACTTTCATTCAGTACTGATGATTTCAAAATTTCATGAGAATGATTTTAGTTTTAAAAACATATAATTTTATCAATTTAAGAGTATTCCACTTTACGAGATAAGGAATTTTGATCTCTGAAATTTGAGAACAATATACAAAATTTTAGAAATCCAGTATTTTTGAATTTTAGTTTTTCGATTAAAATTAGAATTTAATAATAAAACGCATATAAAGAACAGAATTTGGGGAATCGAAACTGTTTGAATTTAGACTTTAATTCAGTAGGTACTGAACATTTCAGAATTTTAATCTCTGTTTTTACAAAATTTATAATTTCATCCGTTTTACAGTTTTCTAGTTTAGGAAATCGGGAATGTGGATCTTAGAAATTTCAGAAGAATACACAGAACTTTAGAATTTCAGGAATTCAGCATCTCAGAATTTTAGGTTTCCGAGTTCCAAATTTTAAAATTGAAGATTTAAAAATTAAGGATTCAACAATTGTATTAAATTTTACAATTCAGAACAGTTTGTTAAAATAACAACTATTCTTTAAGGAATTCGGGTTCACAATTTCAGGACCAAAATCTTTAGGAATACAAAATTTAAAATTTCAGTCTGAAGGACTTACAAATTCAACAATCCACACCAATTTCACTTTAACCTAAAGAATTTACCATCAAAATGAACGAATCCTGGTGTTTATTTTTGGAAAAAATTGGAAAACTCGGGGGACCCCTGGTGTTTTTTAAAGAGTGTGAGGGATCCCAGGTTTGAGCGAATTTTAGAAGGCCTGAATGTCTTTTTTAAAGTACGTGATTTGTTTTTCAACGAATTTCAAGCAATCTTGCGGGCACCTCGTGTCAGCGCTTAGTAAAATTTTGTTTAAGTGATTTTAAACCAATTTTCTGCGAAAAGATTTCATTGGAAGAACTCGTTTGGTTCGCAGAACCACGCATAAATCAGTGCAGAGTGATGGCTATCGGGGTTCCAGTTAATGGCCTCTGCTTAAGGCTCCCAGTTCCAAGTGACAATGGAAAGTCTTGAGGGGTACGTGATACCCAACATGTGTTTCATGTTGACGTAAATCGTTTTATCTCGCAGCTACCATAAACACTAATTGTATTTACCTTGTTCATTACTAATGGACATCGGCTCATTAGATCCCAACCTACACGATTTTTTCGAAAAAAAAAAAAAGTGCATTTTTTGAATCCGTAATTACCGTAAACAATTGTCGCTTTTTCCATCGAGTGCTTCTCCTTCCATATTAATATGTTGCAGAAACCATCAATTCACCTTGACATATGCCAGCAGAAATAATGAATCATTTTGCACATTTAATATTCATTTTATGTTTCAAAACACTGAATGCTTTAACGAGTTATTGAATTTCAAATGTATGATAATTTTAAGTGTAGATACTATTGTATATACGGTTTATCGCGTTAACCCATAAATTACCATGTTTTCTAGAGTTTCCTCATGTTTTCGGGGATCTTTGTTCGACTCTTACGACGCTCAGGTGCAACCGAGCGCTCGAAATTTTGGCTCCGGCGACTTTTTTGTTATTTAAATGGCATGGAACTCCTAGAGATAAAACGAGGAAGTCATCAGCTGTGACCTCTTTCGTATCTGTACCAATTAAAAAGCGATCCATTCTTTCGATCCATCGACACCTAAACCAAGCCTATTTTTGCCAAACCCTCGCCCGCTGCAAAATTTATTTGCACAAGTCAAGCTCCGAATCGTTTAAACCATGCGAATAATTTTTTCATTATCTCAAACGGTCTATTTATAGCGGCTTATTGCCAACTCGATGTTTTCGTTCACTAGCCTTGATTATTTCTGTTCGCCCATAATTCTCAGCCCCAATGAAACGACTTTATTCACATTTTCTGCTCCCAATAGTAAACATTTTTTCGGCAATATGGCAAGCAATGCAAAATTATCGGATGTGTTTAGTACTCAAAGATAAGTACCTATTGTGGAGATAGGCTAAACCGTGACGAGAAAAACAAAGTCCAATTTGGTGTAGGTCATTTTTTTGCAAACAGTTGTTTTACATTCGTGTATCTACGCCCTTATAAATTTTCTGTATTTTTTTTATTTGTTTAAAGTTGGTACCGCCTCATGAACTGATATAATAATTGGTCTAACAGTTTAGATATACTTCGCTCTCTCTCAGAAGCGTGTCACCGTGAATATTTGTTTTTTTTTCCATTCAATATCAATACATCTGATAAACGTTATTTACACAGTGAAATTTTCAGATGACGTCATTTTGTCACACGATATTCCTTATTTAGTCCTAAAATTTCACAATTACTCACGACTACTATCAACAGAGGACAGACAGAAACTGGACCTTTTCACACTCTCGGGGTTCTGAAACGTCAAAAAAATTTTTTAGTCATTTGTCAAATGGATCCGACAATAAATACAAAAGAAAATTTAAAAAAACACACAAATTAATCACCAACTGGTCGTCTTCTGGAAAGCACAAACCGGTTCATGAAATTACGAAATTTTTAAATTCCCAAATTTTGAATCCTGAAGATCTTAAACAGAAATTCTGAACTCGAATAAGACACAAATTGGTGTGAATTCTAAAATCTTCTAAAGCTTAAAATTATTGTTCTAAATTAAAGATCATCGTCAATTCTTTGGATTTTTGAAAATCTGAAATTCAAAAGTTCTAAAATACTGAATTCGTAAAATCCTAAAGTTCTATGTACCGCTCTGGAATTTTGAAAATCCAATTGCCCGATTTCCTAAAGTAGAAAACTCTTAAATCGATGAAATTTTAAAATTTTTAAAAACTAAAACCAAATCTATAAAATTTTCAAAACTTCAGTGTTGGAAATTAAAGTCTAAAATCCAAAAATTCTGAATCCTGAAGATCTGTATTTTATATTCACTTTATTATGACATCCTAAATAACGAAATTTTAAATTTTGGAATCCTAAAAATTTTAAAATAGAAATTCTGAACTCGAATAAGACACAAATTGGTGTGAATTCTAAAATCTTCCAAGGCTGAAAATTATTATTTTAAATTAAAGATCACCGTCAATGCTTTGGATTTTTGAAAATCTGAAATTCCAAAGTTCTATAATGCTGAATTCGTAAAATTCTAAAGTTCTATGTACCGCTCCGGAATTTTAAAAATCCAAGCCCCTGATTTCCTAAAGTAGAAAACTCTTAAATTGATGAAATTATAAATTTTATAAAAACTAAAACCAAAGCTATAAAATTTTCAAAACTTCAGTGTTGGAAATTAAAGTCTAAAATCCTAAAATTCTGAATCCTGACGATCCGTTTTTTATATTCATTTTATTATGAAATCCTAAATAACGAAATTTTAAGTTTTGGAATTCTAAAAATTTTAAAACAGAAATTCTGAACTCGAATAAGACACAAATTAGTGTGAATTCTAAAATCTTCTAAAGCTTAAAATTATTATTCTAAATTAGAGATCATCGTCAATTCTTTTGATTTTTGAAAATCTGAAATTCCAAAGTTCTAAAATGCTGAATCCGTAAATTCTAAAGTTCTATGTACCGCTCTGGAATTTTAAAAATCCAAGTCCCTGATTTCCTAAAGTAGAAAACTCTTAAATTGATGAAATTATAAAATTTTTAAAAACTAAAACCAAATCTATAAAATTTTCAAAACTTCAGTGTTGGAAATTAAAGTCTAAAATCGAAAAATTATGAATCCTGAAGATCTCTTTTTTATATTCATTTTATTATGAAATCCTAAATAAAGAAATTTTAAGTTTTGGAATTCTAAAAATTTTAAAACAGAAATTTTGAACTCGAATAAGACACAAATTGGTGTGAATTCTAAAATCTTCAAAAGGTTAAAATTATCATTCCAAATTAAAGATCATCGTCAATTCTTTGGATTTTTGAAAATCTAAAATTCCAAAGTTCTAAAATGCTGAATTCGTAAAATTCTAAAGTTCTATGTACCGCTCCGGAATTTTGAAAATCCAAGCCCCTGATTTCCTAAAGCAGAAAACTCTTAAATTGATGAAATTATAAAATTTTTAAAAACTAAAACAAAACCTATAAAATTTTCAAAACTTCAGTGTTGGAACTTAAAGTATAAAATCCAAAAATTCTGAATCCTGAAGACCTGTTTTTTAAATTCATTTTATTATGACATCCTAAATAACGAAATTTTAAATTTTGGAATCCTAAAAATTTTAAAACAGAAATTCTAAACTCGAATAAGACACAAATTGGTGTGAATTCTAAAATCTTCCAAAGCTTAAAATTATTACCCTAAATTAAAGATCATCGTCGATTCTTTGGATTTTTGAAAATCTAAAATTCCAAAGTTCTATGTACCGCTCCGGAATTTTGAAAATCCAAGCCCCTGATTTCCTAAAGCAGAAAACTCTTAAATTGATGAAATTATAAAATTTTTAAAAACTAAAACCAAACCTATAAAATTTTCAAAATTTCAGTGTTGGAACTTAAAGTATAAAATCCAAAAATTCTGAATCCTGAAGACCTGTTTTTTATATTCATTTTATTATGACATCCTAAATAACGAAATTTTAAATTTTGGAATCCTACAAATTTTAAAACAGAAATTTTGAACTCGAATAAGACACAAATTGGTGTGAATTCTAAAATCTTCCAAAGTTTAAAATTATTATTCTAAATTAAAGAGCATCGTCTATTTTTTGGATTTTTGAAAATCTGAAATTCCAAAGTTCTAAAATGCTGAATTCGTAAAACTATAAAGTTCTATGTACCGCTCTGGAATTTTAAAAATACTAGTCCCTGATTTCCTGAAGCAGAAAACTCTTAAATTGATGACAACATAAAATTTTTAAAAACTAAAACCAAATCTATAAAATTTTCAAAACTTCAGTGTTGGAAATTAAAGCCTAAAATTCAAAGATTTTGAATCCTGAAGATCTGTTTTTTTATATTTGTTTTATAATGACATTCTAAATAACGAAGTTTTAAATTTTGGAATCCTAAAAATTTTAAAGCAGAAATTGTGAATGCGAATAAGACACAAATTGGTGTGAATTCTAAAATCTTCTAAACCTTAAAATCATTATTCCAAATTAAAGATCATCGTCAATTCTTTGGATTTTTGAAAATCTCAAATTCCAAAGTTCTAGAATGCTGAATTCGTAAAATTCTAAAGTTCTATGTACCGCTCTGGAATTTTAAAAATCCAAGTCCCCGATTTCCTAAAGTAGAAAACTCTTAAATTGATGAAATTATAAAGTTTTTAAAAACTAAAACCAAATCTATAAAATTTTCAAAACTTCAGTGTTGAAAATTAAAGTCTAAAATCCAAAAATTCTGCATCCTGAAGATCTGTTTTTATATTCATTCTATTATATAATTGTAAATAACGAAATTTTAAATTTTGGAATCCTAAAAATTTTAAAACAGAAATTCTGATCTCGAATAAGACACAAATTGGTGTGAATTCTAAAATCTTCTAAAGCTGAAAATTATTATTTTAAATTAAAGATCATCGTCAATTCTTCAGATTTTTGAAAATCTAAAATTCCAAAGTTCTAAAATGCTGAATTCGTAAAATTCTAAAGTTCTATGTACCGCTCTGGAATTTTTAAAATCCAAGTCCCTGATTTCCTAAAGTAGAAAACTCTTAAATTGATGAAATTTTAAAATTTTTAAAAACTAGAACCAAATCTATAAAATTTTCAAAACTTCAGTGTTGGAAATTAAAATCCAAAATCCAAAATTCTGAATCCTGAAGATCAGTTTTTTTTATTAATTTTATTAAGAAATCCTAAATAGTGAAATTTTAAATTTTGGAATCCCAAATATTTTAACAGAAATTCTGACGCAAATAACGACAAATTGGTCGGGGTTTTAAATCCTTAAAGTTAGAATCCTACATATTAAATCTTAAAATTATGAATCTAATCTGAAGATCCTAAGGCGTAAAATTTTTAAGTTTTAAAATGCGAAACTCGAAAAACGAGAATTCTAAAATGCTGAATTCTTAAAATTCTAAAGTTCTGTGTATCGTTTTGAAATTTCAAAAATCCAAATTCCTGATTTCCCGAAGGAGAAAACTCTTAAAATCGACGAAATTATAACATTTTTTTTAAACCAAAATCGAACTCACGAAATTCTGAGATGTCCACTACTGAATATAAAAGTCTAAAATCCAAAGATTTGAATTCCGAAAATCTGATTTTATACTCGTGTTATTATTAAAAGCCAAATAAAGAAATTTAAAATTGTTGAATCCTAAAAATTTGAACACAAAACTTCAGAACGTGGATAATGACAAATTGATAGGAATTCTAAAAAATCTTAAATTGTGAATCCTAAATAGTAAATCCTAAAATTATTAATCTAAAATGGAAATCCAGAGTGGTAACATTTTTAAGTTTTAAAATTTGAAACTCGAAAAACCAAAATTCTAGAATGCTGAATTCTTAAAATTCTAAAGTTCTGTGTATAGTTTTGAAATTCCAAAGATCCAAATTCCTGATTTCCCAAAGGAAAAACCCTTAAACCGACGAAATCATAACATTTTTACAAACTAAAATCAAACTCATGAAATTCTGAAATCTTCCGTATTGACTATCAAAGTCCAAAATCCAAAAGTTTTGAAGCCTGAAACTCTGATTTTACATTCGTTTTTTGTTATATTAAAATCCTAAATAGTGAAATTTTAAATTTTTGAATTCTAAATATTCTAACATAGAAATTCTGAACGCAATTAACGACAAATTTGTGGCAGTTTTAAAATCTTAAATTATTAATCCTACATATTAAATCATAAAATTATGAATCTCATCTGAAGATCCTAAGTCGTAAAATTTGTAAGGTTTACAATGCGAAACTCGAAAAACGAAAATCCTAAAATGCTGAAATCTTAAAATTCCAAAGTTCTGTGTGTCGTTTTGAAATTTCAAAGATCCAATTTCCTGATTTCCCGAAGGAGAAAACTCTTAAAACCGACGAAATTATAACACTTTTTTTTTAAACTAAAATCGAACTGACGAAATTCTGAGATCTTCACTACTGAATATAAAAGTCTAAAATCCAAAGTTTTGAATTCTCAAAATCTGATTTTATACTCGTATTATTATTAAAAGCTAAATAATGAAATTTAAAATTTTGGAATCCTAAAAATATGAGCACAAAAATTCAGAACGTAAATAATGACAAATTGGTGGGAGTTCTAAAAAATCTTAAATTGTGAATCCTAAATATTAAATCCTAAAATTATGAAAATAAACTGAATATCGTGAGTGGTAAAATTTTAAGTTTTAAAATTTGAAACTCCAAAAACTAAAATTCTAAAATGCCGAATTCTTAAAATTCCAGTTGTCTTTTGTTCTGAAATTTCAAAGCCCCAAATTCCTGA